TTTGCCGATCCTGTTCTCCTGATACTTTTTCGGTTTTCCGGATTCTCGAAAAATTCTTGGAAATTTTGACAATGCCACCTCTTTACCGATCATATTCTCCTGTTCTCCTAATACTTTTTCGGTTTTCCGGATTCTCGAAAAATTCTTGGAATTTTAGATAGTGCCACCTCCTTGCTGATCATGTTCTTCTGATACTTTCTTAGTTTTCGAGATTCTCCGTTTTCGCGATTTAAAGTTTGCAATTCTTGGAATTCCAATTCTTGGAAATGCTGAAAAATTCTTGGAATTTTAGATAGTGCCACCTCCTTGCTGATCATGTTCTCCTGATACTTTCTCAGTTTTCGGGATACTCGATTGGAAATCCGAGAATTGCAAACTGCAAATCGCGAAAATCGAGAATCCCGAAAACTGATAAAGTATCAAGATAACATGATCAGCAAGGAGGTGGCACTATCTAAACTTCCAAGAATTTTTCAGCATTTCCAAGAGTTTACAAGAAATATACAAAGAAATCGTATGTGTTTTTTTTTTAAATAATGACAAAGAATGAAACGATTGAATGTACGTTTTTCGCAGAAAAAAATATCTCTTTTTAAAATTCTTGTCTTAATGAATCGTTTAAATGCTCATTATATGTATTACTAATTCGTTGAATTGATGAATACGTCAAACTTTTTTATTTGTTCTTCGATTTCTTACGTTTTGCTCAGATGAATGAGTTCTACAATATATAATAATCATAATACCGAAAAGATACGCTTTGAATGTTTGATCATTACGTGTATTTTATCGTTCCTCTTCATTTAAATTATAATGAAATCGAAACGTAATTACGACTGTAATCTTTAATCTAGTCGTATCTGCCTCATTAAAATGCAAGATGCGAACGTTATCGTGTTTACCGTAAGAAATGCGTCCAGGTGTTTGCCGAAGTCGAGCCACAGATATGGATCTGCTATAAAAAGGGCGTGAAAATTGTTGTTCTCCATCCCAGTTCCGTTTCTGATCTGGCCCGAGTTAATTATCGATCATGCTGCCATTCATTTTCTTGGTGGTCGGCGTTCTTGCGCAGCGTAAGTATACAGTAATATTTTCTAATTACTTTCTCCTCCATTATCTTTCGTCGCCGATGAATACGTCTTGCTCATCCGATCGCACACACCGCCGCTCGTTCTGCAAGGAATGCGTATTTATTGTATATCGTCGACTTGCAGAGACGTTCGCTGAGGAACCCGAACCGATCGTCGGTGGCCAGGATGCCGTACCAGGCGAATTCCCGCATCAAGTTTCCCTGAGGTATCAGGGCAGTCACGTTTGCGGTGGTTCCATTATCGGCCAGTACAAGATCCTGACCGCTGCACATTGCGTGGACTTCGTAAAATCAACCAGAAGTTTAAAGATTGCCACCGGCACCGTCCTGGTCAATGGAGGTCAGCTCCATGATGTGTCGAAAATTGTCATTCATCCGGAGTATTCCGATAGGGCCGAAGATGCTTGGGTGAATGACGTCGCGGTGATCACGGTAAGTCGGAGTATCGCAGGATTCTCTAGTCGCCAATGCGATTTGCCTCTGTAACTTCGTAAACGCCAGCTTATTTCCTCCTAATTTCTCTTCTGTCTCGCTCCCCTCGTTTAAGGCTGCGGTCAAGCTACCGCTACAAATGCTTCGAAGCGCGTTTCTCTTCTCCTTTTATCTTTATTGATAGAAAGGGAAAGAAAAATACTTCGAAGCATTTGTAGCGGCAGTTTGACCGCAGCCTATATCGCCTGTTTCAATCACCTGTTCCTTTCAGCTCTCGACGCCGATTCAATACAACCAGTTGCAAGCTCCGATCGCTCTGGCCACCTCTCAGCCGAAAGCCGGACAGCAATGTACCCTATCCGGATGGGGCCAGATCAGTACGAATGGACCGCTCCCGCGCACTCTTCAAAAGATGAATCAGTCCGTGGTGACGCTGGCTCATTGTCAGGAACGCCACTATGATATGCCCTTGACTAATAACCATTTGTGCGCATACAATCGCTATGGAATTGGCGCTTGTAGCGTGAGTAACGTTCATTGTTTGATAATTTCCGTAATCTGATAATTGACAATTGATCTGCCAGTTGTTGAAGAAGCTCGGGAAGTTAAGACGAAAACGTCTGTTTGCATTTCCAGGGTGACAGCGGCGGCCCGCTCATCAGCAACGGCGTGCAGGTTGGTATTACTTCTTGGGTTCTTCCTTGCGCCAAGGGTGAGCCTGATGCCTACACCAGTGTCTACCACCATCTCAACTTTATCCGATCAAACTAAGAAACTGCGTAAAGACTATCTGCAAGACGTAAACGGCGTAGACCTGTCGACTCACGTCAATTGGTATCAACGTGCTGAAAGAATACGCGATGTCGCAGCGTACACATCAACGATACATCGGCCACTTCTTTAAAAGAAAACAAATACTTCAGTTAATATTTATAACACTGGTAAATAAATAAAAATTATGATTGAATCCATTGGAGTTGTTGAATTCAACGATATTAGTGGAATCTTTCCAGTCCTTTGGCAAATATAAATGTATAATGCAGATTACTATCTATCTTCAAATTCCGCTTCCTTAACATAAGCATACGAAAAATACCGTGAGAAAATAATCAGTAATTTTTTGTCCTAAAACAGGCAACATTAGAAAGCTACGACCTAAGTCTTTGACAGAAATTAAGATACATTAGAACAAATTTTTATTCAATAAGTTGCGTACGATTTATTGCCGTGGCATCGATAAAACGGATTGAGTATACAATGTTACGGGTTTATTAATAATGATATCATAACTTGTGCTTCGCTGATTCTGAAATTGCGTACGTGTAATATGCGTATGTATAAGGTATGCAGCTTAACAAGTCATCAGCAGATACTGACAATGAAGATAACACAAAGTGTTTAATTAAGAATTTAACAAATTTGCTTTAGACTGTTGCATTTTTTTTAAACGGCTCTATATTTTTGATAAAATAAACCCAGCGAGAAATCGATGTCGAATCGACAACGTTTCGACAAATCACTTCTCACTGGGAATTGCAACGTACAAGTAGTAATACCTAGGTAGTTTAAAAATTCACAAAAATAAAAACGAATATTATCTCCCTGTGGATTACCCTGTGGAAATGATAACTAATATAAGGAATGGTAAATACATATAATATCTACTAATTCTGAAGATATTCTACATGTATTACGGATGCATTGCAAATGCATTTCTTGTACATTTTAAAAAAACATTCTAAAAGTAAAATACAAATTAGACTAGTCTTATTGCGCAATATTTTAAATGTAACAACATCAGAAAAATTATTTAATATTAGATATGTTGAAATACATAACATTTTCTACATTATTTTGAGTTAATTTTACATTTAACATATTGAAAAATTATGTACATAATATACATATTAAAAAGTGATTCACATCTTATAGCTTTGTGTACTAGACATCATCACTAGAATTGGTGATAAAAATTAGTTCTTTTTAAACTTTTAAACTAAAAATGTTCTTGGAATAGAAATTTGGGTTAAAAAAGAATTTATCTAATAATTCAAGAACGCAAAAAGAATTTCTTTGGATTCTTTACATCATTTGGATACCACTTTTCATATTTATAGAGATATAGTTTTCAATTTTAAATAAACAAATTTATATCATTATAAAAATAAATTTTTTTATCAATAATATATGCATATCATTGGTTACAATAATAACGTTTAATTAATTAATTTGCGTTTCCATGTCAAGTTAATTAATAAAAACGCGATGAAATTTTCTATTTGCCTTTCGATATCTTTCGTTTCGCTCGGATAAACAATCAGCCTCACAATAATAATGAAGAGATACTCTTCATGTTTAATCATTCTTACATACGTTTTATCGTTCTTCCTCATTTAACTCATACCGCGTAATTGAATGTGCAATATTTAATTTTGTCGTATTTGCCTCATTAAAATGCGATATGCGTCATCGCGTTTATTTACCGTAAGAAATGCCGCCAGCTGTTCACCGAGGTCGGGTTGCAGATATTAATCCGCTATAAAAGGGGTGAAAATTATTGTTCTCACTCCCAGTTTCATTTTTGACCTGGCCCAAGTTAATTACAATTATGTTACCGTTCATTTTCTTGGTGGTCGGCGTTCTTGCGCAGCGTAAGTGAAGTACAATATTGTACAATGACAAAATACCCTCTCATTATTTTTCACCTCCCATGTGAACATCTTGCTCATCAATCATACGCGTACGTCATTAATTCTCCAAGGAATGCGTATTATATAATATATCGTCGATTTGCAGAAACGTTCGCTGAGGAGCCCGAAGCGATCGTTGGCGGCCAGGCTGCTGCGTTAGGCGAATTCCCGCATCAAGTTTCCCTGAGGTATCAGGGCAGTCACGTATGCGGTGGTTCCATTATCGGCCAGTACAAGATCCTGACCGCTGCACATTGCGTGGACTTCGTAAAATCAGTCAGCAGTTTAAAGATTGCCACCGGCACCATCCAAGTCAATGGTGGACAGCTTCATAATGTGGCGAAAATTACCATCCACCCGCAATACCTCGGCACGAGGGAAACTGCTTGGAATAATGACATCGCGGTGATCACGGTAAGTCGGAGTACCGCGGGATTTTCGAATCGCCAATGCGATTTGCCTCTGCAATTTCGAAAGCTTAACATCTCTTTGTAATTCCTTTTAATATCGCGCTTCTATTTTGCTCCTTTCGTTAAAAATCGCTCGTTTCAGCTCTCGGCGCCGATTCAGTACAATCAATACCAGGCTCCGATCGCCCTGACCAGCACTAATCCGAGCGCCGGACAGCAATGTACCCTTTCCGGATGGGGTAAGATCAGCACGAATGGACCGCTCGCGAACACTCTTCTCAAGATGAACCAGGCCGTTATCTCACTTAGCCAATGCGCGCAAGCTCACTATGTTATGCCCTTGACCGCAAGCCACTTGTGTACGCTCAATCGCTTTGGAATTGGCGCTTGCCAAGTAAGTAACACACGTTGTTGAATACGTTGGGGACAGTATCCCCGATCGAGATGATTGACTCGTCAGTTATCGCAGATACTTGTTGTATATAGTTCAACGGAAATTTAACGGAAACATATCTGCATTTCCAGGGTGACAGCGGTGGCCCGCTCATCAGCAACGGCGTGCAGATCGGTGTTACTTCCTGGGTCCGTCCTTGCGCCCAGGGTGTGCCTGATGCGTACACCAATGTCTACACCCATCTCTCCTTCATCAGATCAGCCTGATGTGTACACCAATGTCCACCACCGTCTTGGTTTCATCAGATCGAGCTAAGAAGCTGCACAAAGACTGTCTATAAGACATAAACGACACAGACTTATTCGACTGAAACGTGAATTGATATCAACGCGCCGAAAGGATACTTTGTTGCGGTGTCGAAGCACGCAATGATGCCGTGGGCCTATGAAAAAAATAGAAACACTTCTGTATTTTGAAATTAATAAATGCATAAACTCTATGATTAATTCTACCGGAGTTGTTGATTCGATTTAATTGATATATTAATAAAAGTCTTCTTAGTTTTATAATGATATATGTTTGCAAGTTGTCATTCATCTCCAGCGCTTCCTTAACATAGCAAGTATCAGCAATAATCATTTTTATTTTATTTCGATCACGGGAAATTTGAAGTAATTCGATTCTCTGTAGCATAAAAATTCTCTAATTCCAGAATCATTCTTACGTGGAACATTTCAATTTCGCGCAGCGCGTGTTGAGAAAACAACAGAGCATCAGGTATCGACCAAACAATTGGGTCTCGTGTCGCGAGTTCAAGTCGTAAGCTGTTAGAAGTACAAGTGTAATTTTTAATATTTCGGTAGCGCAATAATTTACACCATGCAACATGCCGGTGAGCGAACGACTTCACTTTCGAAGATCCCAAGTTGTATCGTACACGTACGTTGGCTTGCGATTTATTTTACAAGTGTCGCTATCGTAGACATTTCCAGCGGGGAAGAGGCGGAGAGTCAAGACGCTTCTTTCGCAGAGCATTCGGAATCGAGAGAGAAACTTGACGAATTCGATTTGGTTTACGGCAAGCAATTGCAATCCCCGATACTCGGTCACCATTATCAACTTCTTGATTTGCCAACAAGTTGCATACCATCCACAATTCTGGATACGTCGTTGCTACATGTAAAAATCAACTCTTGCATTCGCTAAATTAGACGAAACGCTTCAATGTGATCACAGTGCTTTCGGCAGTTTTACCATCGTTCGTTCTCTATTAACAGCTATCGTCGACAATCACATTCTATATCTATTACATTCTCCATTCGCAGATTCCCGTTTACGCGCACTTAAAGGTATACGACGTGAAACCTGTGCGACTGCCGGAGCCACCGTCGATTTTATCGGCGTTGCAACTGCAACTCTCGTGAGTGCTTTCCTCCTCGCGCCTTTCGACATTTAATTATCACGTTTTACTTGCAGGGAAGGCACCGCGCTCAGTAAATCCCCGAGGGAAATGCCGTCGACCGCGCGATTAAGCGAGGACGACGGAGTATCCGGTTCGTGCAGCGCTCGAAACACTGTAAAAATTACGAATAAGAAACGACGAGTATAAATTGTAAATTTAAATATCAGCGTACGAAGTTCCGTGATAACGGCATTCGGCTACTTGATTTTCGCAATTTGAAAGCCCGAATCCCTGCTCCCTGTGCGATAAATCCAGATAAATCGTTTGTCGTTTAATTACGATCTAGGGCTGCTTTCGCGAGAAAATCAAAATGATCCAGATTAAAACGACCTTGCGCTACGATTGGTCAAATCTGAAATTTCGTAGCAACACATTGAAATTTTATTCAATCTGGATCATTTTGACCTTCTCGCGAAAGCAGCCCCGGGGTCAATTCTGGTATCTTACAATGTATACTAAAAATGTTAAAAGTGAGCGGCCTTGTCTCTTTCCAAGAGGACGGTTAGAAAGAGACGAGCCACTCGCTTCTAGCGTTTTCACTGTAGTGCAAGATACAGAATTGGATCCCCCTTATCGTTTCACATCAGCGTCCAATTTCCTCGCGGCCAAGAGAGAGATTCGAATTTCGTGTCAATTTTTTAAAGTTGGCCAGTGAATTTTTCTTTCAACGTAGTATTTGGCCACACTGGACCGAGCTCCGAAAACATGGTGGACAGAAATGTAGGCCGCCGAAGGAGGACAGAGGAGGAAAGAGAGAGAGAGAGAGAGAGAGAGAGGGGGGGGAGAGGAAAAAAGGAACGGAGCAGCTTGACGCATTAGGTTATAATACTCGATGGAATAATCTCGTCTTCTTTTCTACGCGAATTTTCCGGCTCGTCGCCGACGGCCCGGGGGAGGCGAGCGTCGACAGTGATCAACAATGCGACAATGAGGAGACTCAACGAGTTTCTCGCGATCTGCGTCGTGTTGCAGTGTTTGTACGGGGCATGCACCACACACTTGCTCATAAACGTCAAAAATCAGGTGAGTGAAAGTAATTTCTCGCGCACTCGCGTTCAGCGGCGCGTCACTTTTATCCAGAATTTATCATTTGCGCCGAATTATTAAAGAAAGGCCGCGGGTGCACTTCCCCGGAATTAACCTCAAACTAAGAATAGATTTCCGTACTATTAATATTACTAGTGTTAAGCCCGTACTAGTAAAGTCGCTAATGTGACTTGTCTTACTCGCAGGGCGGTGATATTCTTCTAGAAACAATCTCGTCTAATGTTACGGAAGATCTGATTACTCTCGAGTTCCAGCGTTCCGATGGCACGCTGGTCACGCAGCTCATCGATTTCAAAAATGTAATTATCTTACAAGCGTAAAGAGCCCGGATTGGGAAAGCAAACCTTTTTGCAAACGATTGCGGTGTTTTGCAGGAAGTCCAAGTTATAAAAGCTCTGGTGCTCGGCGAGGAGGAACGCGGGCAAAATCAGTATCAAGTCATGTGCTTCGTGAATCATTTTTACAAAGTAGATTTTATATCGTCCGACGCGATGTCCAAGCTACGCCAGAAAAATCCGGGCACTGTGCGCGTAGCGGAGGAGGACAGAGGCCATGTCAATTACACGATGGACTTGTTCCTGGACGTTTCTCAGTCCAAGGAGATCTCGAAGCACGTGACCACGCTTTGCGCGGAGGCAGCTGGATCGACGTACACTAGAAATGACGATATAAAGCAGTGGATTCAAAGACCAGGTAATCATCTGTGAAATGAATGCAGTGCGATTAGCGTCGTATGTATATTGTGTCCTGCGGGAACATTAGTTGTCTTACTAATCTCAATTCATTTCTATGGCATTCCCTAGGTTCCTCTGAAGAATTACTCATGGCAGCTGTATATAACTTTACAAATGTGCCGCAGTCAGGCACGAACGACACAAGATCGTTTCCGGTCTCTAAATGTGCTGACACGTCAAATCTCTGGGCCCCTTGCACGTGCTCCCTCGAATTGTGCATCGGCTGGTATCCGTGTGGTCTCAAGTTTTGCAAAGGGAAATCAGACGGCAAAAAGGTGGCAAGCACCTATCGATGTGGCATAAAAACCTGTAAGAAGTGTTTTATATTCTCATATTATTCTAAAATGAAACAGAACTGTTTATGGGACGAATGACATATAAGGACACTATAGATTGAAATTTTCCATATGAGCTATAAGCGCGTTGTAGTGCGATAGAAAAAAGAATGAAGAATGCTAGAAACAAATTAAATATCTCAGAGAAAAATTTTCTAATTACTCCAGGTGGTTTAAGTGTGAACAGAAATTCTCCAAAAAAGAAACAAACTCAAACTTCTAATACTTTTTATTAATTAGACTTTGTGTATATAGATAATTTATATACTTCTTTTTAGTGAATGTAAACTAAAAATTTATTTATTAACAATTCTCTTTTGTGAATTAATTTAAAAACGTAAAATTTTCTTGTTTTGTATATTTTACCTTAGATTATATCGTGATTAAAGCCAAAGCAAGTCGAGCAAAAATATTTTTGCACGATTGTATACTAGATTTATATGGCGGAGGTCTTTGAAGAGCTCTATAACGATAAGTGGATTACATTTCAAAAGGGTTTGTGTTCAGTGACGAACAAAGAATTTTTATTTAACTCTCGTCTACGGAAAATCACTAACATCACTATACGTAATTATGTAGATTTTTACCGAATGGATATTTGTAACATCCGTAACTTTTTTTTACGTCTAATTTACATCGGAACTTAATTTCCGTACATTCCGAGATTTGTAATAAAACGCTTTAATATGTTTTATCACAAACATTGTATTTATTTCTACTTTTGTAGAATTTGCTTTTCCGCTATAAAAAAAATTTTAAGATGTCCGATAGAAATACGTAGAATATTGTTCCCTGTGATCAGCATGATACGTGTGTTCCAGAATACTATTCGCGGATACTTTTACCTCCATTGATTTCATCTAACATTCCCAATCGTTATGTTATTTACACGATACAACAAGTGAAATCATTCCAGTTATACACCCGATAATTTTGTATTATACCTATTATATTTTACTGGCTGTATGTTACAAATAATCCATTCAAGACACAGAAATGTCCTATTTTATTTCTCGAACAAAAACGTCAAGCTAAGTTTTACGTAGAGAGTTTTATACGTGATTTGTAAAGCTGCCATTTATACACATTGTATGTGTGTACATTATATGTTATAATTGTACATAATGCAGACTCACACGTACGCAGAGACACAAATAACAATAGATGCCGATGATCTAGACATATAAAGTCGTGTACATACAAATTCTTGTTAATAGCCGAACAAAAAATTGTACAGTTTACGTAAGATTTGCAGTACCGTGCGAGAGACTTTATAAGATTATTATCAATTTATATTGATACGTTAAATAACTGCAATTTCTAACGAATGTCTTTGCACGTTTCAATAAGAGAGTATATCTAGCGGATTATTGTGAATAAGACTGCAAAATCTGTCCATTTAACGTATAGCGATTAAGCCATTGCTCTCTGAAATCCCTCACATATACATTGTATTTACAGTACGAAAGAGACCGTTCGAAGCGGGGGAATACACACGTATACCCACGCTTGTAATCCTAACTTTCGCGAAACAATTACGATAAAAATCTAGCAGTATTTAGTGTCGTTTTTAGTCAGCAACCACTTATACTGCGAATAGAAGATGTACAATGGCAGTGTGTTAATGGTGCCGAGAAACATGTACTCGACACGATTCTCCAAATAGACCTCGCTACCTATCGTCGTGTCCTTCTAGCAGTCGATTTCTACGCAGAAATAGTGATAAATCCGAGACGTTCACGACGTAACGTGGAACAGAACCGGGATTGAAGTTATTCCAACGATTAAATTTTACTACTAATCGATTTCGGAATTTTTCTTAAATATCACAGCAAAGCACAGTATATAATTCTACGGCGGGAACAACGTTTCTTTTCACTCAGAACTGAAATATGCCAAAACCACTTGCCATTTTGATCTTTTTTTCTAACGCGCACAAATCAACAAAAAGATGTTGTATTCCTACTTGAAGATACATTCTAAATGTAACTTCGAGTAAGAGAGCTTTTGTTATTAACAGAATCAACTTTTGACTCTTTTGTCTCTCAGTAAAGATCCCGGTTCCGCTATGAACGATTGAATTGTACCGAGCGACGTCAGCCTTGTTTACCGTGACGGTAAAGCAAAGATAAACGTCGCACAACTCGATTACGTTTACGTGTAAATCAATGGGGATTAATACAAAAAAATGTGACCGAACAAATTCGTAATACTCTATTTATGTAGAAATATGTACACAGATTCAGAGAGGATTAATTTTGAAATCTTACTTTGGTATGCAGACTTTAGCGTCGATCACTTCAGTCACGATAATGGTTTTGCGACGGATATTAGAAAGGGCGATATGTGCAATAACAATTTCTAGATAACAAGACGGGATATTTATGTGTGTCCTATTACAGAGAGGATATTATGAAATATTTATAATAATTTATTTAATACTTGTTTTCTTCACGTGCCTGTTGTTTAATAAATATATTATATATTTATTTGGTAAAAGACTACCTGTAGCTATCTGCGACACCTTCTGACACAAGAAGTGTCGTAATTACATAATGGAAAATGAGAAATATTTGTCAATGTTTAACTATTGTATCAACCCCCTTTGATGTAATTTATGGGTATCACTACACTATGTATGATTTCAGCTTTACACATAATGTTGTATCTTATACACATATTTTTTATATATATTTAATAAAAAGAATTAATATACATACATGTGTGTGTTTTAATGATGTGGAGCGGTAATCCTTGAAAAAATCGTTTTTTTAGTACACATGCGTGATTAAGATATATTTGCGTGATACGCTCTTTCGCGGGAGAATGTCAATTTTTTCTTGGAAAGTATAATTTTATCGTATACCGAATTTCTCAGTGAGAAATTTATTTTTAAATAAAAATGTGATGTATACGAATAACGCATATTTTACAATATTTTATATATATATATATATGTATGCGTGTGTCATACATATATTGTGTGTACCTACCATACGCGTGTGCGCTACGTACATAATAAAATTAACGATATGCACCACGCGAAGTGCATTAAGAACATGTTATATTTTTTTTCTGGGAGGATATTCTTTGAAGAATATATGCAGATAAACATTTGTTCATAATTGATTCTATTAAGTACGATACATTAACAATAATAATAATATTAATAATGTTAATTAATAGTAAGTAATATACTAATAGCAAAATAATAATAGTATAATAATAATTTAGTTTTATCCAAATTTCTTTACACATTTCTATACACATCGAAGACATTTTGCACCACTCGCATTTCTACGAAACTTAGCGTGCAGTTTGCACAATTTGCTAGAAATGTCACCCTGATGAGCAATAAAATTTATTTACAACAAAAGCGTACATTGGTTAATGTCAAATCGTCGTGACGATTAAAAACGAAGCTTTTGGACGATAAAGCTCAGTGGTGTAGCACCAAAAGTAAATGCTGCTATCTCGGAGTAAATACGAGAAAGACTTACTGATGCAAAACATTTCTTGACATGTGACAGTTTTCTAATACAATAACATAAATTTAATATCTCTCGCTATCGCTATTATATCTCTGCTACTGTATTATCTTTGATAATGAAACTAATGTGACAAAATAATGTGACATCTATAGTGAGTATACAATTCTCTCTGCAATTTTAATGCTACACTAGCCGTGCACCACCAGCCGCCTATCATTACGTTTTCCAAAGTCCTAAAGTCTTCATATAACGTTACAGATAAGATAGAGATCCAGGAAATTTAATATCTTGTAAAAAAATTTCAATAAAACGATATTCATTGTATCATAACAGAATGCGATGACATTCTTAATCATATCAGGCAGTTTATCATTGTTTGTATCGTATTGTTATATTCGTATCATATTATTTTATCGCAATTTCGCTTACCTTGGTGATAGGCGACAATTGTACGCCACTGACTCGCATGAATGTAATTTCAGTTGTACTGAAATCCATAAGAGATCGTGCTTATACACAGGGGATACCCATAGACAGAGCTCCAAGAGATAAAACTGCAATTAAATAGTTTCCATGCTGGAAATCAAATGGATGAACCGAGTTGCAAATAATATCTGTTTGCTCGTGTCAAGACGTCGAGCCGAAATATTGTTTCCGAAGTTAACGAGAAGAACGTACCTTTGATCACGAGATAAAAATGCTTTGATATATATTTCGAGTAGCACCAACCACGCGATGACATAAAATGTGCACACAAGCGCCCCGTTCTTCCCGACCGCGTGAACGAAAGAAGAGTCCCTGAAATTCGCACGTCAGTCCAACCCTATGGATCGTTCTGTGCACTAGAAGGAGAAAGACACTAACTACTGTAGCAAGTCTTGCGCACGTCCGCAAGTATAACACTGAAATCGTCGTCGGCCTTGGGCGCGTGCTCCATGCTCTGCTGCTGTTGCTGCTGCTGCTGTGGCTGCGACTGCTGATGTTGCTGCGTCACTGAGTGGTCCGCGTACTTGGACACCTCCAATCCCGGATGATACTGCTCCATGGTATGACCGATCGCGACGTTGGGGCAACGAGCGTCCTTGTTGCCCTGCTGGTCGTCGACGATGCACTGAGAATTCGGTATATCAAGCTGAGATTGCGGCGGTGCCCCGTAGTAGCGCAGATCGCTGGCGTAGTTATGGTTGCTGTCCAACATACTCTGCGAGGACAGGCTCGAGTGGCCCACGCTCGTCGGATGGGAATACTTGAAATATTTTTCCAGCTGGATCGTCTGCTGCTGATCGTCCTCGGCGCTCATACCGGGATCGATGTGGCCGCCGAGCATCGTGTGCTGCTGCTGGCCAGAGGACGCGTCCGCCTGGTACTCTTGATGATGCGACATTTGGTATCGGTGTGTCACTGCGCCTGCAAGAATTGCATCGTTACTGAAAATTGGAATTCTTTGACATTCGCTATGAGTAGATGTTCGAAAAAAAATCCCAGTATTTCTTTGACACTCTCATTTCTCAAGAGAATGACTTTATTCAGAAAACGTAAGAGCCAATTACTTTCAAATTTCTCTCGCTTATGTATTTTTCCTGTAAAGGATAATATTGGCGCGTTTCTTGATTCTGTACGTCAAAAATCCTAATCGTATTCTAGCCCATGACTTTAACGTCAATGAGAACAAAATATTACCGGGACAACTTTCGGCGGCCCCGCGGATCCCTATGGGCTGCTGTCGATTGCCAGCGCATTGGACTGGATTGTAATTGCTCTCGACGGTAGGCTGCATCGAATAGTTCGTTGTGCTCTTGGACGTCTGCGTGCCACTGTAATGCTGTAGCGATTGATCGTGCGGCGAGGCGACCGGTGGATAAAACGTGCCCGTGACGGAGCCGACGTTGTCGAAACCGGAGCGTAGCTTATTGCACGACACCATCATACCGTTCGCTATGCCCACCGCGGCTAAGCTCGTGGATTGTCTCTCGAAGTTCAAATAGCCCACCTGAGTGACGAGAAACGTAATAATCGCCTGCGAGTGCCGCCCGATCTGCTCCGACGCGGAATAATCCGGCGTGACGTGAAGAGATCACAAACTGGATTTAAATTTATTTAGATAAATGAAGAATTTAATTTTACTAAATGTTGTGGCGAAGCAATTAATTGTGGTTATCTAATTGAGTAAATATACTTCTATATTACTTTACGTGTTGCGGCGAACGTTTGTACAAGATTGTAATCCCTAGTAGCACAGTGCATTGGCTAAACATTGGCCCAATCTCAATTATATTATAAATGCATTGGCCGATATCGTCCAAAGCCAACATTGGCCATGGAATAAATGTTCAACATTGCACGATAATAATTATGTGATATTAGATTTATATTGGAAGTGCATTGGCCAATATTTTACGAGTTTACGAAGAATATTGGCCTAAAATTGATACGATATTAGACCGATATTGCTGAACGGACATATTGGCTAAGTAAGAGAAGACGTCCGTCTTGCAATATTGCGCCGATATATGTATTGTGCTGCTAGGGATGTAACATAAAGGTATCAGGTGTGCGGGATACGTACGGATTTTTTATACGTTAATGTATCCGTGTAACCGCCGGAATTCTGACACGATGATATGCTAGTGTTACTAGCGTGACCCGTGTGCAGCTGATTGTCGCCACTCATAAAGGTGTACCGTTTCGTCTGATCGGTCATGTCTCCGTGTTGCTTCGAGGTCCCCTCCATCAGATCTCGTTCTGGATCTGGATTTTGAGCGGACGATAGATGACCGCCGTCACCTAGATTAGCAGATCGAATCGTCTCGATGACCATTTCGTATTTGCACAATCGTTTCGTAATTCCGATCGCGTCGCTTTTCGAACGACGTTTCTTTCAGACAAAATTTTTCACTCGTTTTCTTACAAAAAAAATTGCCTCTTTGATTGTACCGTTAGTTCAGAAACACTCTGTATTGTAGCTTGTCCGCGAGAAAATCTGAACTAAATGGACTCAATTGCCCGATCGAACTTTTCGGTTTTAAAAACATTACCATCGGGCTCGGGACTGGCCACCGGAGATATGTCCGGGCTGTGGATGATGGGCGTGTAAGGACTGCCGTAGAGCGAATTGTTTTCCGACTTGTACTCCTGAATACTCTGCTGTTGCTGGTGATACAGGGAGATCGGGGAATGGCCACCCCACGGGATCTGAGACATGCCCTGGTAACTGTCCATCTTGGACCTGAAACACATTTCGCACACACTTATGCTCCTCTTCCTCGTGTATTAGACTTAAAGCCCGTTTTATCCAGTTCGTTCTGGTACTTTGAGCATTTGATTTTACTTTGCCGAACTTTCTTATGATCGTCGTCTTATGTATCGCGTGCGGCAGGTTTATATTTCTTATCGGGACCAAGTAGTAAATTGCGAGACGGTGAAACATTGTTAAATCCCGAGCACAGCGTTAGTCTAAATCATAGAGTCGTCGTCGGCGCTTACGTTTAAATCTCGCCGGAATCTCTCAATTAACCGCGGCGGTTAGCTCGCACGTACCTTCATTAGCGAAAAGTACGGGCCGGAGTATCGACTTACATGGAATGATGAATCGCCGGGCCGGCAGGGTTGGACCTGTTGCCCGCGGTGTTGCTCGCCGAGGGAGGCGAGGACGGTGCACCGGGTGTCCGTTTCGCGTGCTTCCTGCGTCGCGGTCGGTACTTGTAATTCGGGTGCTCCTGCATGTGTATGACCCGGAGCCTCTCGGCCTCCTCGACGTAGGGCCTCCTGTCCTGCGGCGTTAGCCCTCGCCATTTCTTTCCTGCGAGAAGCCCGAACAAAGCGAGCCGTCAAGTAAAGAACGTGAGAACAGGGTGGAAGGAGAAGGAAACAGAGACAGCGAGGCGCATGTAAAGTGATTATAAGCGACACACGGTATACACAGAGATTATCCTTACCGTCGTTCCGGAACTCCCTGCGCCGCGTAAACAGTCAAAATACAAAAGATAGGATAATGAGAAATGTATAAGTATAATCAAGTGTGTAGCTATACATTCATCTTCCGGACATATTAAAATTGCATAGCTGTATTGAGATATTTTTATACATGGAAAAGAAAAATGTAGCTGCCGTAGCCGAAAACTGCACGTGGTAACTAAATTTTAGTTGTAAAATATGGACAGCTAATATCTAGTTGTGATAATATTTTGCCGGAATTGGCAGTTTAATATTAAGCAAAGGTAAATGTAACAAGGACTATTGGTCATCCCTTTAATTAAAAATGTAAAGCTTAGGTCTCAAATTGAATCGTTAACAGAGACGGAAGTCTCGGGGGACAAGTCGAGGCGAGTGAAGTTTCATCGTCTGCCCGGAAGATCGATTCAACGACCCTTCAAATCATACGTGGACGTCGTCGACGTGCTGTTTTAATATAACGATTATACGCGCAAAATCTCGCGTGTTCGTATAAATACTTATAAATTACCCCCGATAAATTACACTCCTCGACAATAATGGGGCGAGGCCGCGATGTATACATCTCGATATCCCGAATCTCGATGAAATCGTCGGCCGATCCCTTTGGCTAACGACGCGTTTAATTCGGCTTACGAGAGAGAAAGAGAGAGAGAGAGAGAGAGTCGATGAAATCTCCCTCTCTCCCGCGCGCGCCGATATACGTAGAGCAAAACGAGCGCAGAAATGATCTCTCCTCCCGTCGCACATACACGGCGTATATACACGTACGGATATACGTATTTACAGGTGGGCTTGGTCGGCGGCGGCGGCGGGTCTTGGTCCGACGACCAAGCCTGGAATCTGCCTTAGTTGCGTTCAATATGCCAACATGGTAGGCCGGAATATCATTAAACGAGGCATAAGGGCTAATACAAACGTAAGATGTTCGCGACAAGAGGGAAAAAATTGTGCGCGAGGCGGATATGCACACGGCGCACATTTACGTGTACGAGAGCTATGGCACAAATTTCGTATATAGATACATGTGTAAAAATATGTACGCATAAATATATATATATATATATATATGTAGAAATGAATAGTACCTGTGTATATACGCACGCGCACACGCATATAGTTATGCGTACAGTCTTGTAAAGGTACATAGGCGCATGGGGGCGTAGATATGGGTGCGCCCGTGCCTTCAGCCAGCCACAAGGCACGAACCATTATTTCATATTTCATTTTGTATATTTCAACTCTCCGGAGGAGAGACAGAGAGAGAGAAAGAGAGAAACGTTGACCCAGAGGACTCGGCGCGACGGAGAGGGGCGGAGAGTGAAAGAGAGAGAGAGAGAGGGGGGGAAAAAAGCGTGCAAATCGATCGTTGTCGAAATCGCACTTCGTCTCGTGCCGGACCCCTTCCGCCCCGTGGATAATAAACAGTCGCGACGGTGCATTCAGTACTCTCGAGAATCGCTTCTGCGGCGAAGGAAAGCGGGGAGAGAGAGAGAGGGGGGGGGGGAGAGGAAAGAAAGGATTCTCGCGAAAGAGGAGAACGCTTTTGTCGCCCAACAACGTTCTCCCGTCTAGCTTCTTTCTTCGTTTCTCTCGGGGGCCCCGGCCGGCCGAGACTCGTCAGCCTCCTCGTTGGCAAGAGAGAGAGAGGAAAAAAAAAGAGGAGAGAATAGAGGACTACCCGGCAAAAGGGAGACACGAATGAGGTTTTCGGCTAACAATAAGTACACTTAATTTAATATTCCTGGGCGCGCGCGGCGAGTTATCCCTGGCGGTGATTCATCATCACACCCGCGCACGCTGCGTCCCACCGTGATGTCCTCGTTAAGTATTCTAATGGCTGGCGTGTACCTCTAATTTACTGCGCTTAGGCCGCGGCCCGGTCGGACGACTTCATTAATTTCGATGTTTCGAGCAAACGCGAATTAGACGCGTCGCCCGCGCGTCTGGGAGGACGTCTGGGTCGAATTATAGCGAGTTCGGTTGCTCGCACTAGTGCGCACCGAGTGCACAGACTTGTTTGTAGTCAAGTCTCAGGGTTGGGAGGTGACTCGTTACTTGTAACGAAGTTACAGTTACTTAGTTTTTTTGGTAACTATTATATAACTTCGTTACTTTCTCTCCATCTGCAACTGTAACTTGACTCGGTTACATTTTTTCGATAACCAGTAACTAATTTAATAGTTACTTTATATATTTTTTAAACCTCTACAGATCGCATTGGGTCCTGCATTTACGCATAAGCGCTTTTATCGACACTTTATCATTCAAACGCAGATTTGACACTTTTATTTTCATCGCAAGAAAATAACCGCAAAGTGACGATTCGTTACTTTTTGAGTAACTGCAACTGTAACGCGTTACTTTTCAGAATTGGTAACTTGTAACTGTAACCAGTTACATTTTTAGCGAAGAAACTGTGAGTGTAACTAGATACCTTTATAAAATAACTGTCCCAACCCAGTTAATTCTTATATTTAACTTTGTCTTAATACGTGTTTGAAGTATTTAGCTAAAAAAAAAAAGATCCGTATGGATGCTATACAGACTCTTTCACCGGCTAAGAAACATTTCAAGAGATATTTGTCAAACAATTAAATATAAAAATTGACTGTAAAGAAGCCTTAGTGTGCACTCAGTGGGCACTAGTGCAAGCAACCGAATTCGCTATTAGTCGGCTTGTCCGCCGCGATCCTCCGTGCGGGTGCACTCGCGCGGCGAGCGTAGGACGCGCGTTTCTCTCAAACAGACGCGGCCGGTACCGTCGAAAAATTATATATTATTATGAAAATGCCTGTTATACGGCGGTTATTGTTAAAGAGTTCTAACGTGGCGAATCTGCAAAAATGCAGGCGCGCATGAGATAACTGGTATACAATTGGTGACGAAATCATCTCGGTATTCAGCCTCGCGTACTAAAATTGCGCTCCGCCGCGCGTACGTACGAACGCGCGGATATGTTGTAAGAATGTTCGATGCTAATAGGCTTTCCATCTCGCGATTTCTATCGGCTCGCGCGGTTCCATCTCGGCGAGGAGATTATAAATTAGCTGGTCGGGCATCGCGACAAATTGCGAGAGCGCCGGAGCGGGCGAAATCGCGGCGCGTCGAAAGGTCCCGATCGAGAGTCTTACTGGCGTCGCGTAAGAATCGCGCGTCCCGTTTCGCCGCGCGACATCCTCAGCCGTTGACATTTTCCAGAAAGCTCGTTCGTTCTACCGCCTAATTAACGATTCCGCGGTGATTTACGCACGCGCTCGTCGGTAATTCACCTGGCCGGCGATCGGCGATTAAACCTCGCCGTTCTATCTCTAACTCTCTCCCTCTCGTTCTCGAGCGCTGCCCAGCAGGCACTCCGGGAATTTCGTTGTGGACGGTATAGACACTCGCGCGCGCGGACTGGTACGTGACATTTTCAGAATCGAGCGAGAAACTTCTCGCACGCGGCATTTAGAATATAAGACCGACCGATCGATCCTCGCCGCGGAGTTAGCGCCCGGCTAATTCTCCAGTCTATTACGTCGGTTTTAATTACATACGGATCCCCGATGAATCCTCGGTACTGGATCGACGCAACGTTCGCCGCGTTGCTTTTCCGCTCGCGCTTGAGCGACCTAGAGTGTGTCTTTCGGGAGAGACCGAGTCTCCTCGCAGATACAGAAACCGAGTTTCCTCGCAGATATAGAAGCCGAGTCTTTTCGCAGGTACGGAGGACGAGTTTCCTCGCAGGTATAGAGGCCGAGTCCTCGCAGGTATAGAGGCCGAGTTATATTTCTATCTCTCTCGCATTATTTTGCCGAAACTGGCCCGTTGGCCAGACTCTGATCAGAAGGGCTCTGATCAGAAGGGCTCCTCGGCTCGAGTGGCAGGCGCCACCGGTCGCGCTCTCCGGAAGATTGGAAATTCAAGCAAGTGCCAGGTAAAACGCGTAGAAAATGATACGTCGCACAGGCGATGCGTGTGCAACGGCGCGGCGCGGGAGAGACGAGGAGGGTCCGAGCTGAGGCGCGGAGGAGGGAGAAGAGGGGCCGGAGCGAGGCCCACATCTCGGCGGGACCGCGCATCGCGCGCGTACCCCGCCCAACCTGGGTCGCCCACTGTCACCATTAATAATACGTCTCCCGTCCCGTGATGTATCTCATCTCCCTCGGCGCTGGTGTGCGCTCGCCCACCGACGCGCGCACACCGACGCGTTCACCTGCACAGACGCAAGAGGCGTCGATGCGGCGCACCGCGCCGCCGTCTCTGGGAGGGGCCCGTTTTACGCTCGAGACGCTTTCCCGAATTCGACTGATTGCGAGACCAGGGAACCCCCCCCACGCGATGTCAATGGGCAGAAAGACGATACGTCGTCGTCCAACGTAAGGGCCAGAGCGCAAAGCAACGTAATAGCGACGAAGGCGCAAGCGTCAACGTAGACAGCGCACAATCTTTGCCGTTAAAGTCATATGTAATTGGAGATAAGTACGACATATGCCAAAGCTGTGCGCTATCTACGTTCACGCTTGCGTCTTTGTTGTAAGCTATTACGTTGCCTTGTGCTCTGACCCCAAAAATTGACCGTTCAATCGCGCCTTCATTATCGGGTCTGTTCCTTGTAGCTCAACTGGCTGCACTAGTTCACGAGTTTATCATCCCCCTCGATGGGAAATGATTTATTCCCTCAAATGAGCTTATCAATTCTTGGGCGGATACCGTTTAGAAATTTTATTCCTACAAAACCGCTGCGTTTTGGCGAATCGTGCAGTCATTGTGAAATTTTCTCCTTTCGGATGACGCAATTATCGCGCAACATTTGAGACATTTTCCTATCGGCGCCGCCGCATCAGAAGGAGAAACTCTGAGCTA